GGGTACAAAATGTCTTACCATGCCTGTTGGTGCAACAACAATCAGCCATCCATCTTCCGGCCGGTGCTGGTCAATGGCCGCAGCCAGGTCCAACTGTTCTTGGCTGTTGAAACTGTGGCCCCAGGAGATGCTCGCCTGCTTGGCCAGCTGGGTCATGTAGGGTACGTCATGCTCGGCCCTCGTGTTCATGATGATACGCCCGTTTGCCTCGGGCGAGAGGTCAGTCACCGGGTTCCAGCTGATGGGATAGCGAGCTTCCAATGCTTCTTGGTTCGCGGTCAACTCGGCTATGCTGCGCTTGCGATCTAGTCCAAACAAAGCATGCCATTTTTGCGAGGCCACTTGATGCATCAGTCGCGACGACATTTTGGTTTGCACATGGTCACTGGCTGTGCGCGCATAGGCCCGCTGGGCCGTGTCCCCCAGAGTGTTGAGCTTGAGTGTGGATCAGGCTGCCCAGGGCGCCGGTCGTCTCGGCCGACAGTCGGTTCATCACAAACGTCGTCATCCAGAAGGTTGCGGCGTGTCGCCACGTGGCCACCCCCAGCTTTGGCCGATGCAGGTACGTGGTCATTTGTCGACGAAATGCCGCATATATGGTGGCTGGGCTGACCATCGTCTGCAGGGGCGCAATGTTGAAGAGCAAGTGGCTGTTGTTGTAGTGGCGTTGAGCGTCCCGGACCTCGCGTCGCAACGTCATCGTTTCGTCGTGGCTCATGTGGTCTTCATCCAGCTCGTCGTCGAGCAAATCTTCGTCATGCTCGGCATTGTGAATACCATTCTCGTCGTCGGGGGTACCTAGCCTGCCCCGCTTTTGCAGCCAGCTGCTCAGCATGTGCTCCAGGGGCTTGCACAGCAGCAAATACATGAATATCAGCGTGCTGAGTTCCTGGTCCATGTAGCGAAAGGTATGTTGTTTGGATCAAAATTCAATGTTTATAGTTGCTGAGGCCCCCTCTATCGGTTCGACGCGTTTGACTGTGGCACATTTGTCAAGCCACAGGCTACATCCCAAAGTCTGAATGCAGCATTGGCCGAGTTGGTACGAGCAAAAAACGGCTTTGATTTCAGAGTCGAGGGGCAGCAGCCACGTGATTGCGCTCATCACGCTCACCGGACAGTTGGGCATGGCACGAGTGCGAGGCGCGCTCACAATGATGGTGCTTCTTGTGCTTCTTCTTGTCTTTTTTGTGCTCGCTTGCTCCTTTCTCCTGCGGCTCGCCGCCCTCATCACCAGCTCGCGCAGCACCGCAACCGCCATATTGAGACACCATTGCCATCAGTCGATGGCATGGCGGATGAAGACGGGGCGGTTGGACTGCTCTGCTTCAGACCTTTGGCAACGCCCACCTTGACCATTGACTTTATTCTCTGATTGCGTAGCGATCGACAAGCCCAGCACAAGCGTCACGCATTTCAATTCGTAGGTGCAGCTTGAGCGGCAAATGTAAGAGTGGCCAGGCCGTTACACAGCGTTTGTAGATCTTGGATATTGAACAAGTGAGGATCCGCGCGCCAGCCGATGCTATAAAGAACAGCAGCAGGGCACCGCCAGCGTCTGACCTGCTCCGCACGAATCAAGCCTTGAACTGGCACCACGTTGAAATCCGATGAGAACAAGCCAATTCGTACAATGATATGGGAATCAGGCTCGCACCAATGGAATTTGCAGTTTGGTAGGAGCCAGGGGTACGGGTTGCGCCCAATAGTTCTTCAATCGGCTGCAAAGTGAAACAGGCTCATCGGTGAGCAAGCTTGCCTCTGCAGTCAACACCGAAATGACAAAAGAACGCACCTCCAGGTCGATGCGACTCTTGCGAAGGAGCAGATCCAAGGGGCGTGCACCCGCCTGCCACAGCAGTCCATCGCGTATCAATCGCAGGCGCAGCAGAACAGCGGGAAAGTACGGCATCGCGGTGAAAAGCTTACACAGTCTCTCGCATCTGGGTCAGCATCGTGCCGCAAGAGTGTTCGGATGCCCTCTCGGCTGGCACGGAAGGCTTCGCAGGTTAGATGGAGTGGCGTTTGGCCGCGCTAATTACAATCAATAATATTCGGAAACATGAGGCATGTTTTTATTTGTATTTGGGAGGGGGCGTGGGCGGGTGGGTGGGTGAGCGTCGAGTGTGCTGGGGTAACGCTCAAGGAACCGCCACCGAAACCCGCTTGAGCGTGCGAGGGAGGCAGAGGCGCGATGGCAAAAGGATGGAGTGGTGCCCGGGTATATCAGGAAAGGGGAGAGCAAGGACAGCAAAGGCAAGAGCCCAGCGGGGAACAGGACGAGGTGCGGGGAGCACCGACAACGGGCGGACGCGAAGCGGGCGTAGGAAAGGAATAGCGGAAAAGAAGAAAGGGAGCAAGAGGTAGAACGACCGCGCACGGTGGGCAGGGTGTAGAGGAGAGAGGGACGGGGCAAAGGTGACGAGCAGCTGGAGCAGGAGCAGCAGCCAGAGGGGAGGGGGGAAGAGGGAGGGACTGTACTGACGTCGTTCTTGGCTTTAGCATCAGCACCGTGCTGCAACAGCATCTCCACCACCTTGTCATGACCCCTATGGCAGGCCCAGTGCAGTGCTGTATAGCCATCCTGTGGGATGATGCATCAGCATGACGTACAGGTACAGCATCATCATCATCATCGTCATCATCATCATGTGATCCAGGTGCACCATCATAGGGGGTAAAGGGGGGAAGAGGGAGGTACTGTACTGACGTTGGTCTTGGCTTTAGTATCAGCACCGTGCTGCAACAGCATCTCCACCACCTTGTCATGACCGTGAATGCAGGCCTGGTGCAGTGGTGTTTCGCCATTCTGTGGGATGATGCATCAGCATGACATACAGGTACATCATCGTCATCATCATCATCATTATCATCACCACCATCATAAGGAGGGGGGGGGGGGGGG